AGTTACGGTTTGTTCCAGAGGTTTTTTATGGGGTCGGGGTGGGTCGGGCCGTCTCCTGCGGCGACGGGCGACAGATGGCGTCGCACCGGACCCGGAGCTGCCGCCCGTATTGACCCACGAGCGCTCGAGCGCGATACGGAGCGCCAGCTCGTCCTCGTCTCCGGAGCTGCCGTCGGAGTGGCTGCGAGTGCTAGACATGCTCACCAGCGCTAGGGATTGAACGGATTGGGGAAAGGGGAGTGGAGCGGAGTGAAGTGAGTTAGGGTTTGTTCCGGAGGTTTTTTTATGGGGTCGGGATGGGCCGGGCTGACGTGGTGGAGGCGCCCAGGCGCACCGGGGCCGCCTCATATCCGTCCTTCATTTAGGATGGATATGATGGGTGTCGGTCAGTCTGGGCGTTTGAACCCCGTTTGAGAGCTCCGGTTGGGTCTGTTGTGCCCGGCTGTAGATGCTCTAACCATGGTAAACAAATGTTTGGTGACGGTGGTAAAGAGGAATTGAACCAGGATAAAAAAAAAGTCTGCCCAATTTTTTGAGCTCTCCTTTTGTTAATTATCAGTGGGAGATATCTGCTGCATAGAATGAACAAAAGTTCCTTTTAAAAAACCATCACTGACTGCATGTATTTTGTTCAGATTTTTAATTCCTTAAAATATGATATTTATTTTATTCCTTATAAAAAATAAAAGGACTACATGTATTTACAAGCGCTACATCGTTCCCATCCGATCTCATGTAGTACATTGTCTCTCACGTGAGCAGTAGTGTGTCCCGTACAGCATTGTGATATAAAGGAGAGGAGTGCGGGCAGCTGCAAGGCACAAGCACTGCATTCTGTGGAGGTGAGGCAAGGAGCTGAACAAGCCACACACGAGGAGCAGCCGCTGCGTTCTCGGTGTGCTCTCTCTCTCACTCACTCTGTCTCTCTCTCTCTCTCCTTGAATATGGGCACGCATTCGCACGAGCAAGGTTAGCACATGAACGCAATGGTCTCTGCAGCGCTCCCGATTCAGATCGGGGGTTGCGAATGATGCATCCGTCTAGGGGAACCTTTGATGCTATTCTCACTTTCCTCCCGCATTATCTGCCGTCTTTGTTTTTTTTAATAGTGTTTTGCTCTACCTGGAAATGTGTTGAAAGTATTTTGCCTCATGAACAAAAATTAGCTAGAAAAAAGGCAAGGCAGCATAAGTTAGTTAGGGAGCATAGGTAATCATTTGGGGTAGCGCTAGAACATTGTGCCTTGCATTCTCATGCGAGTACTCGTTTCACGTTCTTTTAGTAGATAGGACAATAGGTAATCATTTTTTTGGAAGTACAGTATGTAATCATTTGGGTTCCTTTTTTAACTTCTTCCTCTTCTTTCTCAGATGGCTGGTGCTGGCGTTCCCGTTTCCGTTCCCGTTCCCAATCCCGCCCAGTGCTACCCTCCAAGTCTGCCTGAGCTTGACGCAAGGGCTCGGCTTACCGAAGGGACTGGTCCAGTAGACGGAGTAGCAGTGGACTGGGTTTGCACCAACACCGCCGAGCATGCCGGTGGATGCAATGTGACAAACCCCCCTATCGACAACTTCCTGTTGAAGTTGCCGGCTTTGTATTGCTCCGGATGCGGCAAGCTGGTTAGATTTCTTCCTCATACAACTGCTGTTCCTCTTACTAGTACATTACCTAACCCATAATTAGCTCTTGACAAAAAAATTACTCCTTGCAGAACCCAACAGGCTATCGGTGGAAAATGACGCACTGCAGGCTGGGAACAGTCTCGCTTCATCTGCTGATTCGTGATCAAGGCCCGCACAGTAAGTACTAACTGCTACTTTTTTTTCATTAACTAGCTTTTAGGAGTTGCTAGTTGAGACGGTGGGCACCTTAGACATCACTATTCACTAGTAGTAGCACTGGCGGAGCTACGTGAGGGCAGAAGCAGGCCATGGCCCGCCCTGCCCTCCAGGAAAATCTTATACATGTGCAGTCGAACATTGTCTTAAAGAAAAGAAAAAAAATGTGCAGTCCAACACTGCATCACCACTACTACCTCCGTCTCGGGTTAATTGAGTGCATGCATGCGTTTAGGCTTTGTAAACTGCCGTTTTGTCTGGCTGCATGATCGCGCTTTTCCAGTAGATGGTTTGCATGCTCGCGTGGGGTTATTAACTACAGCGATTTGGTTGGCTGCATGCACTCGGCTGCAGCAAACGCAGTGAAAGGGGATGGGAATCGAGACGTGCTGCTCTGGCTCACAGGACCGATAAACCCGGACCATACAACTCTGGGTCGCCATGCAACACTGCATTTCCTTCGCTCAGCGCTACTCTGTCAGCTGGGCTACACATCCATATCTAGGCAAGTGAGGGTCAAGTATTTTAGAACGGATGGAGTAGCTAGCTAGCCGTGAACCCGGTCAATCCCACATGCAGCTAGGGGATTGTATTATCTGGCAAACATCAAATATCATACTCTAGCTAGCAACCAGCACTGCACAAGCACATGTAATCAGCTAATGCATGTTGAATTAGTGTAGTTCAGAAGTATTATTTTTGCGTTCCCCTCTAGGAAGGCCCGCCCAGTTTTTTCTTCCTAGCTCCGGCACTGAGTAGTAGAGTAGTGAACTTGTGGCCTGCGCGGATCAGGAAGGCCTTCATTGATCTATGGCGCGCTCGGACGAGGCTCCCCGCCGTCGGACATGATCCGGCGCGCTGGGAGGAGAACGAGGCGATGCTGAAGCTGTCGCCTGGTCCCAGCTTTGTCGCCACTAACCCCATCGGAGGCATGCATGTAGGAGCTGCCTCACACAGCTCCCTCAACGTCTCTCTCTCTCTCTCAAACACACGGAGTTTTGGCCTCGCGCTGCTTCACACACCTGTGTTTTCCATGGCATGTAGTAGTTCCCTCTTATTTATAAATATAAAAAAATATTGGGTTTGACTACATAGTGGACTTGGCGTGCGGCGGCACCGCGCGAGCGTGTCGCCCTGCAAGCTCACGGAGAAAAGAAAGCTGCATGCGGTGGCAGAGTACCCCATAGGCGCAGCATAGACATGCATGATTCAATTCTCTCTCTAAAAACAGACATGCACGATCCAATTCTCTCTCTAAAAACAGACATGCATGTTCCAAAAGACCACAGGACCCTACAGTGCCTTCACTGTAGCAGGCTTATTGCTAGTGTAGCCTAATCTTCCTAGTGTCCTCGGTACCTTATCCAAAAAGATTCCTTGCTCTCCCGTGTACATTTATGAGCTCTCTTTACTTAATGCTTGCCTTGCTCTTTCATTTTCTCAGATACGTGCGTGGCCCACGCGATTGTCACCGGCATGGATCTCATGACCAAAATCTATAAAGCATATCGGTTTGATTTTTTCTATGGCCGTCCCTTGAGTCTTCAAGATCTTTTCAAGACTTTTAATGTTCTCTACAACGTGTCCTTCGGGTACGAGGACAACTTTGACATGGAGTTAGGTAGATCGTATTTCATCATTGACATCGCACAGCGTTTTGGTGTGAGGCTAAGTGCCCCGTCCCTCAGTACCGAGTGCCAGTGGAACCAAGTACCAGAGGACAGGCTGAAGATGGGCTCTTTTTTTCATGTACCTGCACATGACACAGGGCTAATCGTCAGACTGATAGCCGGTGGATTCCCTCTGATCTGTGGCATGCGCTGTGGAAGGACATTCAGATTCACGACTGAAGGCGAGATCTACGATGGGGGCGAAGTTGGTACCAGTCATTGTGTCCTACTGATAGGATCGGGAGTATTGAATTATCCTGGCAACCCAGCCAGGACCAAGACCAATAAGTACTCACGGAAGACCTGGCCTTTGAACCCTAATGGTAAACCGGGACCCCGTGTTTGCTTGGGAGCAAGGGGTTCGTGGGGGGACCAAGCTCATGGAAGTTCCTCTCAAGAAGGTGGAGGCGGAGATTTTTATATCTGGGCTGACCAGATCGATAGAGTGATGGGGTTCCACATGGAAGGCATGTACTAGACCTTGTTTAATCTATTTGGGTTTGTACCCATGCATCGAACTTGTATTACCATTTGTATCGAACATGTATTCTATCGTTGTATCCATTTAAGTCTAGCAAATCAATGTCCTTAACTGCCGAGTAATGTTTAAGTAATCTTGGTTTATTTTGAAACTTCTGCGAGGCAACAGAACTGAGAATATTTGTGGCTATTTTGGACCAAAAGTTCACTTTTCTTGCTACGATTGTATATTCCCTTACATTTGCACCGTAAAATAATCTGCATAAAACAAAATGAAGACGGATAGGCTAGGGTGTAGGAGCTGAATCGCTAAGCGCTCTCTCTCTCTCTCTCTCTCTTCGCTCAATCTCTTAGCTTTCTCGTGAACACACACATGCACACAACCAAGGAAGAACACCAAATGGCTTTGCCCAAAAACACTATCTTCCTTGGTGAATACAGAGACAACATATCGGTGCTGCCCTCACGGTTGTCTTTTCTCCTCTCTATTTCTCTTCTAGCAAACCAAATTATATGCGTGGGATAACAACTAGACTCATGATACCTGCCACCATGAATCCACTAACTCACGCACTAACTAGACATGACCACTTCTCATTGCTAGAATCACTAGGACATCTTCTTCATGTCACGAAGTAACTCAAACTTCTGCTCGGCCATGCACACATGCAGATCGGCTACTCCCACGACTTGGACCCAGCACAACAGACGTTCATATAACACACCTAAATACATGCAACTACAAGATATCAACAAAGGGCAGGCAAAGTTTGACCAAATATAGGATTCAGAAGCAGCTAAAGCATTTTGGTTATGATCATCACCAGCTCTTCTCACAAGTTATGTAAGATATTTTTATACCATTGTAGTTTTGATAGGCTGTGGGTTCATGGGTATCTAAACTAGATCAGTTTTGATAGGCTGTGGGTTCATGGGTATCTAAACTATGCAGAAGCGGGGCCTGGGCAATGGAAACATGACGGAAGTGCCAACGACAGCCTATATGTAGCATAAGGCCAACTCCACCGCGCGACCCTATCCTGTCTGCCCCCGTCCGTTTGGGGTAAAAGGGACAAAAAAGACGGCCCAGCGTGCGGGCGCAAACGGATTTTGTGTCCGCTTTGTGTCCGCTTTCGACCCATCCCCGGCCCAAACTTGCGCTGGTTTTGGGGTGAAACGGACAGCGCGCGGACGGGCGGGACACGCG